AGGGGGGGTGGAGTCGGGGGGCAAATAATAAACAGGCAAGCAAACACTTAATTACCTGCCTGGGCAGGAGGTGTCTCCGGAAAGAAGGGGCAATGGGGAGCTCCCACGACCTACTTTAGGCTCATGAGCTCATTTAAACCTCCCAACAGCCTTGCCTTGGGAGATAAATAGTCCCAGCTGCAGATGAGGAAACTGAGACACAATCAGGTGACGCAGGGGCACCGGGCTCGGGTCCCTCAGGGAGTTGGTGGGGCCCCAGGCTAGGAGGCTTTCTTCAGGGAGGAGTGGCCTCTAAGCTCACTTTCTTCTGGGCCCCATGGGGCTCTACTGTGCCAGAAGCACAGGGACAGAAGAGGTGGCTCTGTGGGCTGAGAGCACTGTCCTTCTCCAGGCCTTGGCCTGCCCATGTGACAGCTCCTCTCTAGGAAGTCCTCAGGAGGTGCCTGCTTTGGGAGGTCACTGCCCAGCCTTCGGGACAAGGTGGGGTGGGGGTGATCTTTCCCAGACCCCCACCCAGACAAGGGGCTTTGGTCTGAACTTGCTTTTTGGTGGAGGTTCCCAGTATCAGGGCTTAGATGCTAGAGGCCTAGTGGGGAAGAGAGTGCAGAGAGGGAGGCCAGAGCAGCAGGTGTGTGTCCATGTGCGCACACAGGCTTCTGGGTGGCTGGCCAGCGGCTGCTGACTGGGCAGGCCCATTGGAAGGGGGGCTCAGTCTGGGCTGAGAGTGGGGGCCGGGGGAGCGGCTGTAAGCAGAGACATGGGGGCCAGACTGGAGTAAATGCTGGTTTGGGGTAATGAGAAGGCACGTAATTAGAAGGCGGCAGGGCGCTAGGCAGCAAGTGTCTGTGAATGTACCTGAGTGGGTGGGTCCTCACTGGCTTTGAGTCTGGGCCTTTGGACCCCCATTTTGCTCCTGGAAGTCTCAAGATCACAGCTCCCTATCTGTCTGGAGGTGAGCAGCTTCACAGCCCTTCCTATGGGCCCAGGTCACCCAGCAGGTGCCAGCCAGGGCCAGCGGGTGGGACAGGGGCTGCCTCCTCCGTGGCTGTTACATTTCACCTCAGCCCCAGTCCTCTGGGCCCACCCCAGGGACATGGAGGGGTGCTGGGTCGGAGACTGGGCAGGGCTTTGGGGCCAGCCTGAGGACTTGGGGGCTCATGGGCAGGTCTGTGGGTTAGATCCCGTGAAGAACGGGAGGAGGGTGGGAGGAAATGGGCTTGAATGGGAGCTGGGCCCGGGCAGGGGTAAGGTTCACTCTGGGGCAGAAACTGGAAAGGAAGACTTGTGACCAAGTTAGAGGAGGGGAAGGTGGGGGGATGGGTCAGGGGATGCCACCTGTTGAGTGCTGACTGCCAGGGCGCAGCCTTCACTCTGTGGCCTGACATTCTGTTCCAGGTTTCCCCTTTAGCTGGCCTTGGGCCGAGAGCCACTGCCAGTGACCTGGAGAGTCCTGTGGTGTGACCACTGCTCCTCCCCCTCCCCTGTGGGGTAACTCAAGCCCCTGGCCTGCTGAGGTCTGTGCCGGGGCAGGCCGTCCAGCAAGGGTGGATCAGTTTCCTCTGCCTCCTCTTCCAGGTGGGAAGCTTGGGCCACCTATAGGCCGAGGGCTCTCATGTGACCTGGGTTTACTGCAGGCAGCATTTCTTCTGAGGAACTTGGCATCAGACCTCTTGGGGCTCCAGGGAGTGTCCCCTCACTCTGCTGGGGGCCCTGGGCCAGTGACTTGGCTCTCCGAGACTGCCCCTCTGGGTTCAGAAGCTGTGCACAGCCTGTGGCTGAGGCTGGATATATATCACTTCTGTTGCCCTCCTGAGCCTGAAGCCAGGCCTCCTGAAAATGTGTCGCTGTGGAGCTCCCTTGTTTTACTACAGTCCTTTTGTTGTCTCATCCCGAGTCCTCCTTTTTGCTGGTTCCGCCTTGTCCCCTGGCTGTAGGCTTTTCTCCAGAGGAGGCCACATTCTGAGCCTGGGGGCTAACCAAGCCTCAGGCAGTGCCCAGCTCAGAGGGACACTGTTCATATGTTGGCCATCCAGCTACCCTGGGGTGTGAGCTCCCAAGGACAGGGACACTGCCCGTCTTCTTCATGTTATTTCCTGTGCCTGGCACACAATAGGTGTCCAAGAGAGGCTGGGAGACTGGCCACCATAATCACCTCCCAGGACCTCCCCCAGGTCTGACCCTGGCCCAGAAGATGCAGTCACTCATCCCAGCCCTCCGTGGAGAATGTGGCCGGGTGTGTGTAGACAGTGGGACACACGGGAAGACCAGGATAGTGATGGGGTTGAGGGGGGACACACAGGAGCTTTGGGGACCAGATCCAGCTTTGGAGAAAGGGAGGTCTAGAGAAGCTTCCAGAAAGAGGCCTTTGTGTTGGACTTTGAAAGGTGAGGAGAAGAACCTTCTGTGGAGCAGGAACGGCAAGAGTGAAGGGAGAGGAGCAGGAGAGGTGGGCATGCTCGCGGCCTGCCGGCTGTGAGCCTGGGAGGTGGGGAGTGCCAGCTCCCTCGTCCCCCATCCCCAGGGAGGCAGCCGTAAGTTTCCTTCCTCCAGGCTCCCCTGCTTCTGCCCCAGGGCACCTGGCTGTTTATGGAAGGGGAAGGAAGCCCTTCCTCCTACAGGAAGCCTCCCGAGACTGGCAGATCCCTCTACCCTCTTCCAGTCTGTTGCCCTGGGAGGCTGGCCCCAGATAGGGCACCCCCACATGTCAGGTTTTGGGGGGGCGGTGGCCGCAAGTATAGGCCAGGCCTCCCTGGTGCTCTGCCTGCCTGGCGGCACCTTGCGAACTCCCCATCCAGTGCTGCCCTGGAAGCAGTGCTGGGAGGACAACTGCCTGCCTGTGCCCACCTCCTGCTGAGCCCCCCCTCTGTCTTCGTCTGTCCTAGGCTGGGGACGGCAGGGCCTGAGGAGGAAGCTGAGGATGACGCTGAGGCCTCCCCCACACTGGGCCCTGTCCTGCCTCCTTGTGGTGAGTTGGAGATGGGTGGTGGGGATGCCGGAAGAGCCAAATCCTGAGCCCTGCGGCCAGGCCCGCAGAGGAGGTAGAGTAGAAATGCCACTCAGGAACCCCCATGACGGGCTGGGGTGCTAGGGTTGGTTACTCAGCTCTTCCTGTGAGGCAGTCTGACCCTGGCCCATACCGTTCCTGGTTCGGGAGGACTCCCAGCGCTTGGCAGGTGCTGGAAGCCAGGTCTGGGGGCCTGGAGCCTGAGGAGATCCCCCAAGCCTCCTGTGTACCATTCCCTCTGCTCTCAGCGCAGCTGGCTCTACTCTGTGTCTGCTACCCACAAGCTGGGGCAAAACCAGAGGACCAGGGGTCTCCCCGCAGCCGGAGGGAATCGGGGCAGACAGTTCACCCCTGGAATGGGAGGCAGAGGGAGATCCCCGTGGAATGCGCTGGGGGCGCAAATTGAGAAGACCCTCCCCTTGGGATGCTTTATGCCCTGTCTGGGTGCAGGGGTAATGATCAGGCTGGCCTTGTGTCGTGGCGGGGGGTGGGGTCACCGAGGAGCACACGGCCCTGGAGACGAAGCTGAGGGCCCAGAGTTGGGTGCACCAGCTGCAGACTTGGCTCCAGGGATCATAACGACATGCCCAGCTGTGGTGGGGGGAGGGGGGGCGCGACAAACTTGAGAGAGGAATTCGGAAGCATTTCCTCCTCCTCCTCCTCCTCCTCCTGGAGGGTGAAAAGGGTGTGACTCAGAAACCCAAGGGTTTGAGGTCCTGATTGGGCCCTGTCTGGAGCTTCCCAGCACTTTCCAGAAGGAGATGTGGCTGTCTCCCTACCTAGGCCATGCAGCAGGTCTGGGACAAGCAGGCTTTACTTGCAGCATGAGGGATTGAGGTCAGATCATAGGGTATCCCTGAAGCCTGGGAGAGTGGCCCTGTGTGGTTTGTGGTCCCCACTCCTGGGGCATTAGGAAGTGGGTGGTAGATAGACAGCCCCAGAGACGCCATGGCTTCCTGCCCTCTCAAGTGTGCCCTGCCTGCTGTTCCTCCAGGTGCTGCCCTGGCCTCTGGCCACACCAACATCCACGACCCTTTGGCAGTGCCCGCCCGGGGAGGAGCCCAACTTGGTGAGCTCACCCTGCCCTTCTGCCCTGTCCTGGGAAGACTCTTGAGGGCCGGGGCGGGTTTCCCAGGGACCTCAGGCCTGGCTCCTGGCTTCGTTCTCACCCTTTCCCTTCCACAGGACCCGGGGCAGGGCACATTATGCAGGTCCTGCCCCCCGGGCACCTTCTCAGCCTCGTGGGGCTCTGGCCCATGCCAGCCCCACTCGCGCTGCAGCCCTCGAGGGAGGCTGGAGGCCCAGGCGGGTACAGTGACTCGAGACACACTATGTGGAGACTGCCAGCCTGGGTGAGCCACGGGGTGGGGCGTGGGGGCTCATGCCATGTGGCCAGGACTCTGGATCCTGGGTCCCAGCCTCACCCAGCCCCTGAGCAGGCCTCAGGCCTCCCATCTGTAACATGGGACGGACCAGTGTGGGTGCCCAGTAGGAAGGAGGAGTCCAGCCTTCTTGAGGAAGATTCTGGGCCTCAGTGACGTCTTTTCCCCTCCCCCTGTAGGTGGTTTGCCCCTTCAGAGGTCACCCGTGTTCCCTGCCAGCCATGCACCCGGACAGCTCTGGGTACTCGCGGCTGTTATGGTGAGTGTCAGATGGGGCCTAGGACGGGTGGGGTGTGTGTGGGAGGGGCTCTGGTGAGCTTGAGCCCAGGGGCCCCCCCAGTGTCTGTCCGGGGCAGTTGGAGTCCTCATTCCATCATCCCACGGGAGGATCAACAGCCGGAGAGTGTCCAGCAGGACGTGGTCAGTTGTTCCACTGGCTGTGTCTTCCCACCTCATTTCTGGGTGGCAGAGACCACCTAGCAGGTGACAGCTACACCTGGAGGGCTCACGTCTTGACCCGTCCCCTGTCCTCATCCCCTCAAAGGCCCCCATGCAGATGGTGTGAGCATGCGCTCTTACACACAGACACACGCACCTCCTCTCACTGTTGTCAGTCACCTCCTGAGGGAACTAAGTCATGGACCAGGGCAGTGGGTTGGGGGGGGGGCAGGATCCAGTGTCCCTGTGCCCAAGCCTGTGCACAGGTGCCATCTGTTCACCCCTCTGACCCAGCATGAGGGGTGGGCAGGGTGCGGAGGGGCTGGCCATCCTGAGTCCTGAGGAGGCCTTGCTCAGGCCGGTGGATCAGATGGCCAGAAAGGAGAGGGTGAGGGTGAGTTGGCCTTTGCTTCCCCAACATGGTGGGAATTGGGTGGCTCTGGACACGTTAGCACCCCAACACACACACACACACTTATTAATGTGGGCCCTGGGCCTCTCTGCTTGTGTGTTTCTGCCTCTGTCTTGTCTCCATGCCTCCATCCTCCGTGGTGCTCAGAGCGGGGCCAGCGGGCCCGACGTGGTGTGGAGGTGGCAGCCGGGGCCGGCAGCACTGGGGAGACACAGCAGCCTGGGAACGGCACGCGGGCAGGCAGCCCCGAGGAGACGGCTGCCCAGTACGCGGTTATTGCCATCGTGCCTGTCTTCTGCCTCATGGGGCTGCTGGGCATCCTGGTGTGTAACCTGCTCAAGCGGAAGGGCTACCACTGCACAGCCCACAAGGACGTCGGGCCTGGCCCTGGAGGTGGAGGCAACGGTGAGGCCCGGCCTGGGGTCCCGGGCCAGCCCAGCTCAGCCTAGCTTGGGGGGCCTCCTGAGGGAACCTGCTTGGCCTGGAGGGTCTGACAGGGAGAGGCCTGTAGAGGGTAAACCTGGAAGGCTTCCTGGAAGTGCTGCACACGGGCCACAGAGGAGACATTGCAAATTGACAACGTGGAAGGAAGGATGAGGTGGCCCAAGGTGGCAACGGGGCAGAGCAAAGGCAGAGCAGGTCGTGGCTTTAGCGGGATTCCCCCGCCGAGTGAGGCCCTGCCTGCCATGGGGGTCTGGGCGCCTCAGGGCTACAATTGTGTGTGTGGTTCAAGGGTTGGACTGCCTTTTCCGTATCAGGTGACCTCTGACCTCTGGCCTGAAAGGCTGACGAGACAGCTGTCCTGGGCAGGCACCACTGCCCAGGCTTGAGTTTCTAGGCTGTGGTTTGAATTACGAGTCCTGAAACCAGAGGGAGAGCCGTGTTCCTCTTGCCCCCACCCCAAGGCCCTGGGCCTTCTTTTCTCCTCCCCACACCCCAGTATCCCCTGAAAGCCGTAGGGCAGGGGCCCTACACGCACGTACACTGCCCACAGGAAGGAGCCTTGTGGTCAAGATTGAAATGGCACCTCCTGTGCCAGTGCCCCAGGCTGCCAGCCCTTCCCAGCTCCTGACACTGAAGTCTGGAGGGGACAGGAGCTTTAGGCAGGCAGGAAAGGGGTAACTCAGGCCATCTCACCTGAGACTGCACTTGTTTTCCTAGCTTGGGACTAACTTTCACTGCTGGCTGCTGCCTAGGTACAAGTCCTAGGAGCTCTGTTTGCTGCTGATCCAGGACTGATCACATGGCCCATTTTTCATACCTTTGAAGTTTGGGCCCTAAGATGACCAAGGGCCCTCAGTTACACAAGGTCAGACAATTAAGTTGGCGAACTCATCCTAGAAAAACTGCTACATCATTGCTGAATATCACTACGGTCACCTTCGAAGTACTCCCCTTGGGAAGCTGTGCACCAACACCAGCTCCTAGTCCACCCTTCAAAGCAATTTTGGAACTCTTTTTCTGGAACAGCCATCAGAGCGGTCATCGCATTACCCTTGATGTCCTGAATGTCATCAAAATGTCTTCCTTTCAATATTTCCTTTATCTTCAGGTAAAGAAAGAAGTCATTGGGGGCCAGATCAGGTGAGTAGGGAGGGTGTTCCAATACAGTTATTTGTTTGCTGGCTAAAAACTCCCTCACAGACAGTGCCGTGTGAGCTGGTGCATTGTTGTGATGCAAGAGCCATGAATTGTTGGCGAAAAGTTCAGGTTGTCTAGCTTTTTCACGCAGCCTTTTTAGCACTTCCAAACAGTAAACTTGGTTAACTGTTTGTCCAGTTGGTACAAATTCATAATGAATAATCCCTCTGATATATAAAACAAGGTTAGCAACATTGTTGCCACAAGTTCGCCAACTGAATTGTCAGACCTTGTATAGACAGAGCGGTGTGCTGGGGAGTAATAGGCCTGGAATTGGCAGAATTTGCTGGAGTTGCTGGGAGCTCTTGGCAGAGAGGCAGCCCACAACTCCCTGAGGCTAAGGGGAGACAGCTCCAGAAGAATCTGCCTCCTCACCCCCACACTTACTCTGTAGTGACTGGAGTTCAGATGACTCTGAAACTACTAAGCACCTGGGGCTTTTGGGTGCAGGGAGCAATGATGCTGAGCAGTGAGGGTGATGATAATGGGGCTCCTCAGAGCTGTGGCCTGGAGCTTGTACATTAACACCCAGGCTCGGAGCCTGACTCTTGGGAAGGCTTTGGTGCGCCCTCTGCTGCCATATCCTGGTGTGGCTGGAGTCTGGAGTTCCACTGCCCCCCCCCCCCCCCATTGCCCCAGGATCATGGTCCTTCCCTTCTTTTCCCCAGGAATCAACCCTGCCTACAGGCTTGAGGATGCCAATGAGGACACCATAGGGGTCCTGGTGCGCCTGATCACGGAGAAGAAAGGTGAGGGGAAGCTCTGCCCATGCCTGTGCCCGGAGGCAGGCTTAGGGTCCGATCCTGCCCTGCTTTGCCCCTCCTGCCACGTCACCTTGGCCAGCCTGGCACTCTGACCAGTGTGGCTGCCCCTTTTCCTCCTGTTCTTGCCTCATGAGGAAGTCAGGGAGAGGAGGAAAAGGCATGTGACCCAGGCTAGAGGGGCTGGCGGGTAGGTAGGGGGATTTGTGCTGGGGCAGGGAGTCTGGGGGGAGTGTCCCTCATGGCCCAGAGCTGGGTTCTGACTGCAGTTGCCCACAGAGAATGCAGCAGCCCTGGAGGAGCTGCTGAAGGAGTACCACAGCACACAGCTGGTGCAGACCAGCCACGGGCCTGTGCCCAGGTGAGTGGGCAGGCGGGTGAGGAGGGCCAACGCCCAGATAATCAGCCCGCCTCCTGGGGACTCACCACTTGGGTATGTCCCCTCTCCTCTCACCCCAATTCCCTTTCACGACCTCCTCTGGTCTCCTGGGCCTGGCCTGCCCTAGTCACCGCTGCCACCTGTGCCCTCTACAGGCTGCCGCCCGGACGCCCCAGCACACCGCACGTCTGTCCGCACGGCCACCACCTCCACACTGTGCAGGGCCTAGCCTCACTCTCTGGCTCCTGCTGCTCCCGTTGTAGCCAGAAGAAGTGGCCCGAGGTGCTGCTGTCCCCTGAAGCTGCAGCTGCCACCACTCCCACTCCCAGACTCCTGCCTAACCCAACCAAGGCTCCCAAGGCCGGGGCCAAGGCAGGACGCCAGGGCGAGATCACCATCCTGTCTGTGGGCAGGTGAGATGGGCACAGATGCAGAAGGGTCAGGGAGAGCTGACAGCTGGGGGCGGGGGGCATGCAGGGCCCTAGGTTGAGCGCTGAGCACCTTGCTTAGTGACAGCCTCACCCTTCCTGGCCTCAGTGTGTGTCTCTGGGCAGTGGGGGTAACAGGGAGAAGTCCGTTGTGCCCAACTGCTGTCTCATTCAGAGCCCTTGGCCCCCCAGGGCAGGGTTCTGGCCCCTATGACACTTGGGGCCGCTCAGGCCAAGAGCCTGTCCACATGCAACCTAGAGTTGGGGGCATTGGGGACTGGTCTTGTGGGTGAGAGGGCACGGGAAAGGCTCAGGCTCTGATCCATGAACTTGCTGTGTGACCCTGGCAGGCGCTGCCTTCTCTACACCTGGGGTTCTCCCTCAAATGCAGGGATGCTTGTACCCCCTCTTCTCACAGGTTCCGCGTGGCCCGAATTCCTGAGCAGCGGACAAGTTCAGCGGCCTCAGAGGTGAAGACCATCACAGAGGCTGGGCCCTCCGGAGGAGATCTCACTGACTTCCCACAACCTGACCTCCCCACTGAGCAGCGGGCACTGCTGGGAAATGGTGGAAGTCATACTAAGTGGCCAAAGCCCCCACTAGAGAAGAAGGCTGAGGTGAGGGCCAGAGAGGGAAGGTGTCTGTGGGCGCCTGGGTCAACCCTGACTGCAGATGGGGCAGGAGTGGAGATGCAGGGGGGCCCTGGGCAGGTGCCACTTTCCTGGAGCCCAGAAGCCCCCTGACTCAGCTCTGACGCCTCATTCCTGTCCCCCAGGAGAACCGCTATGTGGTCCGGCTAAGTGAGAGCAACCTGGTCATCTGAGGGGCTGTCTTGTCTGAGGACACTGCAGCCCTGCCTGGGAGGTTCCGAAGGCTTCCCGCAGGAGGTACAGCTGCAGCTGGGCCTGTGATGATGGAGAAGCAATGGCCCAGCAGACAAAACAGCCAAGGCCCAGGCCTGGAGGTGGGAGTGTCCACCCCAGTGAGGAGGCAGGCCAGCTGGTAGGCGCCATGTACAGGAGCAGGTCAAAAGCCCCTCCCCTGTCCTTGCCACCCGGTTCCTTTCCTGCAGGATGTCCCTGACCCCGTGCCCGGGCCAGATCCTAGGATCGTCTGTACCATCAGGAGGCTAGGCCTGATGGTGGGGAGGGGCCCTGTTGGGCACCCCTGGCCCCACACCTTGGTATTTAGCCACTTCCTGCCTCTGAACAGGGCCCTAGTGCAGATGTACCTCCCCCTCCTCTTCCAGCAGGACCTGTAAAGGGCAGGGGCAACTAAATAACGTAGGCTGGGAGGCTGAGTTCTTGGGTTCTAACCCTGGGCAAGTCCCCGGCCATCACTGGGTCCCAGTTTTTCTGACTGTGAAGTCTCAGCGCCCAGGGCCTCTCCAGCTCCTTGCAGGCTCTGGGCTGGGTTGTGTTGAGGGAGAGCTTGGCTCCTTGCCACCCCTCCCCCTAATAGTTTTATCTGGCCCCATTATTTGCTGCTTCTAGGGCTTCCACCTTCAAGGCCCCCATGGGGCTGCCCATCCATGGCTCTGCCTAATAATGCATGTGCCTGTCCCCACATCCTGCTGTTTTTATTAAAATGGAAAAAAACAGACTTGACCTGGGTAGGGCTGTGGTACAAAGCCCCAGCCTGCCCAGCCACCCCCAAGATCTCAGGAACTTTGGGGTAGGGGTGTGTGACTGGCTGGAGAGGTACCTCTGGCCTAGGTGGTTTGTGTCCCTGTGGTGTTGGTGCGTCTTGTCCCCCAGCCTGGGCAGTGCGGGCGACTGCCCAGCCCGTCTCCATCCTGGCTCAGTAACCTGGTTATTTATGTGGAGCTGTGCAGGCAACAGGCCCCACTGCCATCCCCATTTCTCTTATTTATTTAAACTTTGCTGTTGTCCTGTTCTTGTGTATCCATCCCCATCCATTTGTTGAATAAAAGGTGGGAAAGTGGTGTCACGAGGAGCTTCTTTTTCCTGTGTCTCTTCCCAGGTCATCTGTCCATTCACACAAGAGCTATGTTAGGCACCGTGTGTGGGACAGGCCATCCCTCCCTCCCCTCAGTGCCTTCTCTTTGGCAGCAGGTGACATGTGGTCAGAAGAGGTTCCCTCACCCCATCTGGTTCTCACCAAAGCCCTAGAGGCAGTGCTATTCAACAAAAATATAGTGTGTGCCATGTATGTAATTTAAAATTTTCTACCAGCCACGTTTAAAAAAGTAAAAAGAAACAGGTGAACTTAATTTTAACGATATTAATCATGTATTTATTCTATTTAACCCAGTATATATCTAAAATATTTCCATTTCAACATAGTCTGTATAAAAAATATGAATGAGCCATTAACTTTTTTGCTTTGAAATCTAGTGTGTATTTTACACTTAAACCACATCTCATTATGAACTAGCATTTTTCAAGGGCTCGATGGCCACATGTGGCTAGTGGCTCCGGCATTGGACAGCACGGTTCTAGAGACAGTGGAGCCTGGAAGATGGATGGGGTAAGTAAGACACACTGAGGGCTGGAGAATGTGGAAGGGGAAACATGTTCCCCAGGAAGGGAACAGCATGTGCAAAGACATCAACAGAAATACGAGGAGACGGAGAGGCTGGAAGTACCTCTTGACTTAGGTGTGGAGATGGGTGGGGTGGGCAGAGAAGGCAGTCACCTGGGCTCTCAGAAGCCATTGGCCTTATGCCAGGGACACCAAGGAGCCTCTAAAGCATGTAGGAAGGGGAAAAGCATGATTGGTCAGCTTGCTCTTGGTGTGTGGAGAAGCTGCAGACGCAGGGGTTCCATAAGGAAGTTGCTGCAGACATCCAGGCAAGAGATGGGGGCCAGGCTGCATGGGTGATAGAACAGGTGGATCCAGGAGATTCCTAGGACCGCCAGGGCTTGGTAATGAGATGTAGGTCAAGGGACTAGGGACACCTGGGTCAGCTGGGTGGTAAAGAGCAGTCCTGGGGACACCTGTGACACAACCGTGTGGGGTGTCCTGAGGCATCTGGATGTGCAGGCCTGGCGCTCAGAAACAGATGTGGCCTACGGGAATATCTGCAAGCACGCAGGTGGGCATTCCTCCAGGACTGGACTGGGAGGGAACATGTTCCAGGGAGAGGGCTCAGGGCAGACCCCTGGGCTGCTCCAGGGCACCGCCAAGAAGGCGGAAGACCAGGAATGTGCAGTACCCTGAAGCCAGGGAAGGACGGGAGTGTGGGGAGCAGGGTCCAGGGAAGGACGGGAGTGTGGGGAGCAGGGTGTGTCACAAGGCCAGGTGCTGCTGAGGGGTCAGGAGGGATGCTGCGTCCCATGGCTAGTGGACACCAGGATGCGGCAGAAGTCATCCCAAGGGAGTGGTGAGAGCAGGGCCAGGTCTGAGTGGATTGAGCTCCCTGCAGAAACCTGACTGTGTGAGCGATAACTGGTAGGAATTTATAGACTCCAGTGAGAGAGGGTTTTTTAGTTAATTCTGGCTTCTTTTGGTGTTTGGTATGTGTTTTAAAGATGGAAGAGGGGACACATTTAAAAGCTAATGAGATCCAAGGAGAGGCTGAAGTACCAGCAAGTGACGTTTGATGGAACCTGGGGAGGTGTGGAAAGGGACTCCTGGGAGTCCCAGCTTCAGAGGTGGGACGCCATGGCAGGGGCCTGGCGTAGCAGCTGCAGAGGAAACTCCTGCCTTGAGATCCCACCTCTCCCAACTCTTGCCTTTCTAGGCCAGAGGCTTCTCTGGGGCTTCTCAGGTGGGCAGGCAGGAAAGGAAAGGCACCTCTGAGGACCTAGGAGACAAAGCGTCACCTGCTCTAGGAGAGCGGAAGGAAGGAGACGGAGAGGCTGGACATCAGGATTAATAATTTTCCAGAGCACCAAAGGTTGTCCAAGTCTAGGACAAGTGTCTGTAGTGGGGGCCTAGCTGGCATCAGCAGTGCACCGAAGGAAATGTTCCCTGGGGCTGCCAGGGTGCACACTGTCTCCCTATTGGCCAGCTGTATCTCAGGGGACGGCTTCTCAGTGTCCCCTCAGCCAACAACTCCATTTCACCCAGGACTTAGATGACACACTGGGATGAGGATAATGTGCGCTCTAGATGTCCTCTTGCCTGGGGCAAGGCACATGCAGATGCCAGCCAGGGTGGAGACGGGATGGGCTTCCCAGGCTGGCCAGGTAAGGGACACCTAGCTGAGGGTGCTGGCCCTGGGGTGATAAGCACTGCTCACATCCAGCACGCCCCCTCTAGTTTTCTGCTTGCTGGAAGGTAAGAGAAAGGTGTGGCCCTGGCCTCAGTTTCTTCACCTGTCCCTTAGGGTTGTTGAGGCCAACTCCCAAGTGGGATGAACGTAGGGATCGAGGTAGGGGTGTGTCTGATGCCCATGGCCTCTCAGGCTGAAGGTAGGCCCAGGCCACTGGCAGGGGTGGGAGCTGGAGGAGAGTGGAGCCCTGGGCTAACCACCCCTCACTCCACCCATACCCTTCCCCCCACGGGTCAGGATGGGGGTGCTGGGTCCCAGGTCTCCACCTCCCTGCTGGCTCCTGACCCTCAGCCCTACCCCTGTGACCTGGAGCCGAGTCCCTGGGGAGAAGCGCCTTTCTGCCCTGGAGAAACTGCTGTGACATAGCCAGGAACCACCTGTGGCCAGAGGTGCCCTCCCCTCCCACACTTGGCTGAGCTTTCTGCTGCAAGGGAGGGAGGACGAGTTTCATGTCAGGTGAGGAGGGAAACTGGGGAGGGTGCTATGGAGGCACAGCGTGTGATTTGGTGGAAAGGGTTGGAGTTAGGAGTCCTGTTTTAATTATAGCTCTAGGGTCAGCCAGGTGACTTAGCCTCTTTGGGCCCATTTTCTCTCCAGTTGAGGAGGCTGAAAACTTAGAGGCTGGGAGAGTAGGCTATAGAGGCCAGGCTCTGGGAGGGAATGGTGGCCGTGATGACCAGAGAGAGAAGCCTGGGCTTGGGCAGTGGCTTTCCCAGAGGGGAGATGATGTTTAGGATGTAAGACAGCATTTGCTGACCATTTAGATGGAGACCACACGCCTTCCCTTGACTGTCATTTAGTGAGTACAAATTGCCAAGCCTGTCCCTTGGTTTCCCACCTGACAAATGTACCCTTTAAGCAAACTCAGGCATTGCTGCCTCTGGGGTGGGCAGGACGTGGGGCTCACAGCTCCATCACCTTGGTCCAGGTACTTGGCGTCCTTCGCTGCCCCCTCTTGAGGACAGGGCTCATTTACTATCATGCTGTGAGGGTTATGAGTTACAGAGCACAAAGCGCAGTGCCAGCCGTAAGGCGGGCTCTCGGTAGACTTTAGCCGTCATCATTCACGGCCTCCCTGTCTCCCACAGTCCAGGTGCCGATGGCCAATTCCCAGGCCCCTCAGCTGTGAGTCCCAGGGAAGCCCCGTTATGCCTTTGGGGAGATGCAGCACACGTGTTACCGGACTGGTGAAAACAAGCTTAGACTCAATTGGGAGAAACCCAGGGGACTCACTGGCCCAGGAGCTGGTCTGTATTCCTCTCTCGTCCCAAAAACCACTAGTCTGGTCACCCCAGACTTTTTTTTTTTGGAAACTTTTTTTAATAGTTATTGAATGTTCTACAGCTTACAGTAAATATCATAGTTACAAATTCTTGGCTTCAATCTTTCAGAGTGATCACTATCTGATCTTCAGAACAAAATGAAACAAAAACCCAAAAGAATCCAAAACAACAAAACAAATCCAGCTTTACACTTCATACACACAAGCGAGGCCATGGGGCTTTCCAATCTTTACACTCCAGGCTGTGTTTTCAAAACACCTATAAGTTCTTTGATCAAACTACTTGGAAGACACTGTCAAAGGTTTATTATTATTATTTTAAATGTTTTTCCTTTTAAAATGTGAGTTCCAATAAAATTTAAAAATTAGATTCCAACCTGTAGATTAAAATGAATTAAAAAATACAAAATCATATACAACACTCTCACAGGGATGTTACATGCCATGAGAACAGGTTTCTGTCATGTGATATGAAACAGGGATGCAGATGCCTTTTAGTCAGGAGAGGGGGACAGGCCCGCGGGCCTTTGAAGGTTACAAACAACTCCACGTTGCTAGAGGCCTGGGCTTGCCTCCCCCGTAAGGAGAAGCGTGAGTCCCACCGCAGATCCAGACAATCTGGCTGACCCAAGAAGGTGGTCTCTGGGCAGTCTCCCTCTTTCCAATTCTCAGGCTTGAGGAGGAAGGCTGCAGCCTCGAGATGCTGGTCTTAAGCTCAAAGACGATTTCACCCATTTGACTTCTATCGGCTGGTACTTATCTGCAAAGCTGTTACCTCTGTTCTCTTCAAGAAGGAAAATATCCCTCTACCAGGAGCTGGAATGGGTAGAGGGCCTCAAACCGCCACGGCAAGGAGCCCAGGGACCACGGAAGCAGCCACAGGAAAGCAGGAGCTCGTTTCCTTTCAGGCTGTGGCCGGCAGTCCTAACTCCTGGGTTCTTTCTCACTTGGCCACTGGACTGGACTCAACAGCATGCAAGATAGAAAACACCCACTGAAGAAACTGAGGGAGTGGGACCCAAGTCTGGCTCAGGCAAGGTTGGCTATGGAATGTTGAAGCTGGCCTGCCAGAAATTTTGAAGGCGGGGCCCTGGAACTATGTAATGCCTAATTTCAGCAATGAGTTTTCTAGGAGAAACATGGACAGGTAAAGGACAAATCCTGCAGCCAGCCTGGAATGCCCACAGGAGGCTGTGCTCTCAGAGGCTCACCTAGAATCTGATGTTGGCCTGGCTGTTTCCTCCGCTGTGGCCCCACTTTCGGAGGTGGGTTGGGCATGGACCCCCCTAGGGCTGCACACCAGCATAGAGCCTGTTTCCCACCTGCCCACTCCACTGCCTGACCCAACCCCGCTCCAGATTTCTAAGTTTGGCAAGTGGCTGGAGATAAATGTGGTAGAATACAGGATGGAAAAGCAGAGTGCCACATACTTTCAATTGCAATTGAGAAACGCCAGGGTGACATCTGAATGATTAGTCAGTGTTGGGACCAAGACCAAGACCCACACCTTCTAGGCCCTCCATCTCTGGTCGGAGCCGAGCTGAGGAATCTAATATGAGGGCTCCAGGCTAAGCCAGCGCCTCGCTGAGTCTGGCCAAGTCCTGTCTGCACGATGACACCAGCACTTGGTGAACAAGGGGCCTGCCCTACGTTATGCCCTATGTGATTCATTTCTGAAGTCACTCAGAAAAAAGCAAGCCCCTCCAAAGAAGCACGCCCAGATTCTGGGAGATACCTCAAATTTGGAACAATTTGGGTGGCCAGAGGTGAGAGTTGGGATAAGGAGTAAGGACTGTGTACTCTCTCCAGGTCCTGGTCCTCACTCATGGGGTCGACAGGCAGCCATCCATTCTTCAAGCCTGCCACTCAGACCCAACAGGTGCCAGCAGACAGAGCAGAGGGTTGGAAGAGCTCAAATCTCGGTTCTTTCTCATATGAGCTCTGTGACTTTTGGCAAGTCTCTTAAGCCTTCTGAGACTTAGTTTTTTCCATCTATAAAATGGGTATTTTGGCAATCAATGTCAAAGTACTACTTTGTACCCGAAAAACACTCTGGACAGGTGTGTGTGTGTCCTTGTTCAATATTTAGGGGTATCATTTAGGGTCATCTCCAGGAGGGGGGGGGAAGAGAGAGCGGTGAGAGAGACGAGAGAGAGAGAGAGAGATTTCATTTGTCTCATGGGGGAAAATATTAATTTTTCAACATGTAGCAGATTGTTTTAGGCTCTCACCACTTGGGGGCACTCCAGCTTCCTAGGCCCCAGGCTAATGAGGGGGAGTAAAGTAGAAGTGGGGCAAAGTGAGGAGGTTGGCTGGTGACTGGAACCACCTATACCCCTAGCCCTGGCCACCAAGCTTGTGGTACTGGGAGAGGGGGTGGGGAGAAGAGTTTGCATGCGGAGGCCAGCACTGCAGCTCACTGTCCTGTTGGCACACCCTTGTCCTCTCTGACTTGCTGGCTTTCCTATAATGACAGGACCCTTCCAGCTCTGACTTATCCAGCTTGACCACTGGGCCATCCACTACCTTTGGTTGATGCCTAAGGTACCTGTGACACCTGTGAGCTACCAGGTGTGCTTGCCCTATCAGAGGCACACTGCTGCCCCAGCTCTCCTGGCTCAGTCCCTTTGCAATGACGCCCCAAGCTTGGCCAGGCTTGTGGATCTCCATCAAAGCAAGAGGGTGAGGACAGCTGAACTGGGGTTCTGGAGCTCATACTGAAAAAGGGGTGATGGGCCTGGGCTCTTCCAGACCACTGCCTTTCCGGGCCTTGTTTAAGCCTTGGGGCCTGTCTTTGATCTTGAATTACATACTAGGGCTGAGAGAGGGTGCAGGGCGTAGACTCTTCAGTCCACAAGCCTGTGTACGGAGGCAGACTGGAGGGAAAGAGCAGACACACTGGGATTCTGCCCCTTATGAGCGAGTCTCTGCTTTAAGTCTGTTTCCTGATGGATCCAATGGGAGGAATAATCTATTGCGCAGGGTTAATAAATCAGAGGGTGGATGTGAAATTGCTTTGCAAGGTACTAGATGCTAGTTTTTACTTACTGGTGTAGAAAGAACAGAGTAACAAGGTCATTCCTAGCTCTCCTCTTTCCCCCTTCTCTCAGTGGTTCTACTCTAGCCCATCTGGAGGCGACAGGATTCAGGGAAGCCTGTCAGGATACCGGCGCTCTGCTTGCTTTGGGCAAGTTCGTTCTAAAGCCAGTTTCCTCACTTGTCGGATGGGTGTAATAACATAGCCTGTCTCTCTCTCTCTCTCTCTCAGGGCCAGTAAATTAAAGGCTGTGAAATGCTCTAAAATCTGTGAAGCACCTGACAAATGCAAAGGTTTCCTATTATCATCATTATTGTTTTGGCATTTTCCAAACATGTATGACATAATCTAAAACACCCTTCACCCACCCTTACAAAACCAGAGAGTGGGAGGATGTACTTGCAAAAAATGGATTAACACTGGAAAACTTGGTTGTTTTAAAGAGAAACCTCTTCAGCACCCCAGAATACACCATTTAGAATAGCTGGGCTCCTCCTTACTGGTCCTTCAGATCTCTAGAAGGCCCAGAAGGTGGGCCCCACAACTCCTGGCTCTGCGCTGAGGATGCTGAAGGGCTTTCCCCTCCTGGGGACGGCCAGTCGGCCTCTGAGGTCCTGGCCCAAGGGTTCCTGGTGTTTTGCTCCTTTAGGGAGACATGGGAGGTAGGGGTATGGGTATTTAAAATGAAAAGTTATTAAAAGATCCAGATATTATCAATGACCCCGTTTTGTACAGTAAACTGTTCCTACCCCACTAGAGAGGCTGCTGGCCCAGCCCAGTGCTGGGTGCAGGGGGCAGCACTCAGCATGTGACCCCTGGTCTCCTGGGCCTCATCCTCAGCTTCCTTTTCTCTCAGGGTGAAAGTTCCAGATGTCTCCACAGAATTCCCAAATGCTATTTCTTCATTTGCAATTTCTGTTCCTGCCTGCTGCCCCCATGTGACCTCTACCCAATCTTCAATCCCCCGCCTTTGGAGTCCATGGGAGAAAAGAGCAGAAGCAAAAGCCCAGATACTGTTCCAGGGCCCACCAGCTGTGGGCACTGCTGACTTAATTTCTACAAAACTAAGCCCATCCATTCCTAGGTAAATTTTTGTGGGCAACATGCCCCTAGGTAGGAAGGCTGCATTTAATGTTGATTTACTATGAGGTCTAGGGAAGGCCTTTCCTCTCTGGGCCTCAGCTTCCTCATCTGTCAAATAGGGGAATGGATGAGATGATTGCTAAGGTCCCTTCAGTTCCATGAGTCTATGAAATGTTTATTGCTATTGCTTTTCCTTCACTATCCTGCCCTTCAGAGCCACCAGCACCCACCTGGAATGTGGTTCCTTCACTTTGGCCGCGAATGGCAAAAGGTAACCAAGAGCCTGGCCTGCCTGCCAGTGCCAGGGACAGATGGGTGAGCCCTGGCACCAGGAAGGGCAGAGGGAAGGGAGAGAAACGCCATAGGTTCCCGCTCTAATCAGGAGGTAGCTCCTCATCAGAGTGGGTCCATGAGGGCTCAGAGGCCAAGGTCTGGAATACACAAGGGCACCTGGCCTTCCAAGGCTCTGGGAAGCTGGGATCCCACTACCCTGCAGGTCTGAGGCCTGGTATGAGGTCAAAATTGCCTTCTGAGGAAGTGCCAGGTCAGGTTACATTACTGTGCAAATCAGAGGTCTAGGCCCAGACAATCCGGCGGAGACCTTGCAAACCAAAGCCAGCAGGCAAGCACCTCTCCCCCGATTTCCCTCCCCAGTGCCCCACCCCCCACCCCACCCAAGTTCTCCCAAAGAAAGAATCTGGTTTTCCCAGGTTCTCACCTGGGGTGTTAAGCTGCTATGAACACTCCTACCTAATCAGGTGGTTTTGTTCTTGGTCTGTTGCTATGGTTCTCAGAAGACATTTCATTTGTGTCAGGACATGTAATGTCCTAAACTAATTTTGCTTGAGAAAAATCAAAGAAACAATCCCCCAGAGATGTGGCCTGCTCAACAGCTCTGAGTTCCCACCCTGGACCCGAGGGCCACATGTTACGCTCTGCTAAGGAAATCATGCCTTCAGCTGAACCATTGCAATAAACCCCACTCTACCTGCCAGGAGACTGGGATCCCTGGGGCTGGACGCCTGGGGAGGGAAGGAAGAAGAGCAGAGAGGATGTGACTGGTCAGGTAGGAGGAGGGGGCAGAGCTGGACGGGCAGTGGCCAAGAGGCGGCAAGTGGGCAGAGGCAGGAGATCAGAAGCAGCAGCTTTTACATAAAACAAAAATCAAAACCAAAACCGTTAAAGACGCATAAAGTGACCCTTGCACTTCCGTGGTCTCTTCTTGCGAATAGAGGTGGTGCTGCCAGGGGGCCGCTCCAGCACCTGTGTAAGACGTGAGGGGTTGCATACAATGTGTGACTCCAGACCTGGGGGCGGAAGGGGAAGCCGTTAGTGACAGTGATGTTCCCAAGGCCACTTCAGGAAGCCGCCGGACCCCCTCCCCTCACTAGGGAGCCCTCCGTGCCTTCCCAGTGAAGCCGCCTGCTTCCTGTCCAGGGCAGAGACCTCCCGGAGGAGACGGAGGGCGGGGGGCTGAGGAGGTAGGTAGGGCAGAGGTTTGCAAACTGATAGCCCTGGTGGCCTGTGGTTCATTGGCACTGTCTCAGGAGTTGCCATGGACAGTGAGGAAGCGGATGCTGGGGGGTGGCCTGAGGTCTCCACCTGGTCCCAGTCACAGCCAACATCTGACTGAGGTGAGATTTCCTTTGCAGGATGCATCCCACGGTTAAAAGAAGTCTGAAGGCTGTACAGTAAAGAGCATAGAATTCAGCACTAGAGGACTGGAGTTCAAGTCCCAGCTTCAATTTTACTGGTTAAGTGATGCTGAACGATATTTATGTGTACAACAGTGCTAATCATCCTTACCGCACAGGGCTACTACTGTAAGGATTATGAGATAGCATGTAAACTACCTAGAATATATGTCAAGTGACAGCTATTGTTGAGAGCGACATTACTGAACTTGGAGCAGGAAAGTAACTGGTAACTAACTGCCCCATGGACACCTGTGCTTCCAAACAAGCCCGGGGCCTTGAAGCAGCTCCCGTACTTAGTCGCCCTCCTACCTCTCCCACCCTGGGCCCCACTCACTTGGATGGGCTGCAGGCTTTACCAGTGCGGGGGCACATAGCTGTACGCAGGGGTCCCTTGGGCCCTGTATGTTGGCATGGAGACAGGGTGTGCCCCAATCGCAGTGTGCTGGGGTGCAGTCAGCAGGGTTCCTGAGCATCCAAAGAGAAGAGTAAAGCTGATGAGCTGTCCCAGGATGCTGGGACGAAGAGGATGAAGCCCGTCTTTCATATGGCTGCTCCCCATCTGCCCATGAACTGCCGCTGGCCCTTCCCACTCTGCCAGGTTTCGCCTTAGAGAAAGGTCTGATGCTCCACGGCAGAGTCACTCACTCTTCTCCAGTGGCCTCCCTTCACTCTTCTTTGTATGCTCCTCTCTCATTGCAAATGTCATAGCGAGTGGTTTATGTGGTCATTTCCCACCAACTAGCTGTTCCTAAGGGCAGGGCGTTAGTCTGATCTATTGGTAACTGGTCCCCAGGACCTGAACGACAAGGATGGCACCAAATGGATATTCAATAGGTCCCTGACATGGTCTGAGGATATGAGAGCCCTCAACAACCCCTTCCATTGAGGGCAGAGTAAAATCCCAAACTCCCACCTCTTGCCTAGTCGACCCCTTGTACTCCCTTGTCCCTCAGAAGGTGACCCAGCTGATTCTTTGAAAGTTAGGGGTCTAAAGGTCATTCATAGTCCTCGTCTTCTCATGCTCTTCTTTGGAATATCAGCTCATCCAACAATTTCCCTAAACCTGCTCTTCCTCCTGTTTCTCTCCCATGCCCATCCTCAAGGTTCCCGAGGGGCAGGGCTCTCGTCTGGAGTAAGCCAGAAATGGAGAAGGGTCCCTCTGCACTCCCGCTTCTCCCATGCATTGCAATCAATGATCCGACAGGTCCTTAAGCTCCTGCCTGCTAAGTAACACTGTCCCATGACCTCCTTTCTGCAACCCTGCTGCTACCAGAGTCCTAGCATCACCATGTCTCCCCTAAAGTACAGCCTCTCCCCATCTAATCCTGCCTCCACCTTACAGCCTGAGAATGTTTAAACCGAGCCCCATCTCTCTCGTCTGCCTAAACCACTTTGCTAACACCCTGTTCCCTAAAGGCATTCTCTTTACCACTTTATCTTTGTCGACTACCTGAGCCACCCTTCCAGCTTCATATCCCTATTTTCTAAGTGCCTTGGACCGTTTCCATTTGGGGAATGTGCCATACTCATGTTCTTTCTGCCTGGGCTGCCCTTCCCTCTGTCATCTCAGCTTAGCCTCTGTTCACCCTTTAAGGCCTAGCTCAATACGCCCTCCTTGGGGAAATCTTCCTCATCCCTGCAGACACATTTAGAGGGTCCTTCCTCTGGGCTCCCAGAAGCCCCCAGCATAGGATTTCTCATTCCATGACTGTTCTCCATCCTCTCATGGGTTCCTGGAGGAGGACGGACACTGACACAGACGTGGCCCTCACCTGCTGACATCGCCATGGTGGTACCAGCCACCATGCCCATGGCCACGCCGTTGGTCCTGGGGGCGGCGACAGGTGCTGGGTAGATGGCAGAGGGAATGCTGTTGGGCTGGACGACCGTGGTGTGGTGGATGACATGGGGCTGGGCAGCGTACACCGGCTGTGTGTAGTAGGCTCCCTGGGGGAAAAGAGGCTGAGGTCACACAGGCTTTCAGGGAGGTAGGGCGGGATGTGAAGAGGAGGAGAGGGGAGGGGAGCCTGCTCTTCCCAGACCCTAAGGGATGGGGTCAGAGAAGCACTGGCCCAGGCACACAGGTGTGGGCCCCACACGTGACTGTGACTGTGGACGGCTCAATGCTGGGCTCAGCTTTTGGTCTGAAAAGTAAGGCTCCTAGGGCCGCTAGGATGACACAATGACTAACAGCTCTATCCCTTAACACTGATGTGAACATTTTAAAATGTCTGTATTTTATTGCAATGTGCTACATGAGCTGCCTGGAATGTGATGCAGGGACCACACCCAAAGAGTGAAGGAGGAAGTGGGCGGGGCTGGTGAACTCCGGAGCACTGAGTGCACACAGGAAGGATTATCAGTGGGAGTGTCACTCTGGTGCTGGTGCCAGTGCTGCTATTTTACATTTTGGAAAAAGGTCATAAATGCAGAGCATTTCCCTAGATGTCTCTTGCTACCTATTTCCCTTTAGGGAAAAAGGTGGAGGATGGAGACAACGATTTGAGGTGACTTCCTACTGCCTGGATCACGTGGCTGCTTCCTGCTGATCTTTGGAGGGAGTAGATGGGCCCTGGGTCATCTTAATCCAAAACTTCTCAAATGTTTCTACTAAACAATGACAAGAGCCTCAGAATGTGGGTTTGTAACCCCAGAGATATGAGAGCATAGTGCAAAGCAGCCTATCTTAAATGAGAAAAATTAATCTCAAGTCTATTGTTTTGTCTTTTAAGTTTTGCATTCTACTCTACAGTATAGCTGTTTTAAAATTTAACAAGTGTATTTCATAATAAAAAATAATTAAAAAAATAATAAATGAATGAGGATTAAAAAAACAATAAATAGAGAAAGTAAAAAAAAAAATTTTTAACAAGTATTCTCCTCACTACTTAAGTCTCATGTAGAACTGTCACTCCCGAAAAATGTGCTATGTGTATGCTGAAGCCTCAGAGAGAGAGAGGAAGAGGGAGAGAGAAGGGGAGAGGGGGAGGGAGAGAGTGAGAGAGAGGGAGAGAGGGAGAGGGAGAGGGAGAGAGGAGGAGAGGAGGAGAGGGATAGGGAGAGAGAGGGGAAGAGGGGGGCAGAAGAGGAGAGGAGGAGAGGGGGAGAGAGGGAGAGAAGGAGAGATGGAGAGGGAAGGAGGGAAGTGGGGGGGGGAAGGGGGAGAGAGGGAGGGAAGGAGGCAGGGAGGGAGAGGCACTTGCCCAGTGTCATAGAGAGAACTGGTGGCAGAGCCTGGGCACTTATCTCCTCCCCACTCAAGCTCACAGACTTTATCAAGGAAGGGTCAATGTGGGGGTAGGGAGAGATGCCCAAGGCATAAGGGCTCTCATCCTGACTCAACCAATAGCTCATGTGTGACCTTGAACAAGTCACTGCCTCTCTGGGTCTCAGCTTCCCCACTTCTATAAAAAGTTGAGCTAGGTGATCCCCAAGGCCATTGCCCCTCTGACCATTCTGGGCTCCGTTAATCTAAGTGACTGTATTACCACCCCCACCCCCACCCCCACCCCACCCCACCCCCTGGGGCTCAGGTGGAGTGAGGGGGTGTAGACTGCAGGGATAACATTTTACTGACACAACCATGACAGCTGACCAGAGCCATGAACTTGTCTTCCTTCTCTTTCTTACCCACACCCACCCTACCAGGGCTGGTGACTCCTTTACCTGCAGAAGAGGTGGGCCCAGGCTCCCACATGCACCTACCTGGGCATACAGATTCTGCTGGGGGTAGGCACTTCTGATTGGATACATGGCCGTCTGATAGGGGTTGGGTGATGGGGAGTAGGGGGGTGGAGCAGTATTACTCTGGGTCGGTGGGACCTTGTATGGTGTCCCCGCAGTATATCCTGTACCAAGGCAATAAGAAAGACTTCCAATTAGTTGGCAGAACAGCACCACTGGAAGGCAGCAGGTCCCAGTGATCACTCCCCAGACAAGGATGGGCTGAATCCAGGCTGGAAACACAGATGAGAACAGAGAACAGGACTCCACCCAGAGAGCCCTGGCCCCTGAGGCAGCTCCCTCAGTCCTGGTGCACAAGGCTGCATGTGTGATTTGGGCACCTTTTATTTCTCTGGGTCTCAGGGCTCTCATCTACTAAGTAACAGATGAACCAGGTGATCTCTTAAGGGACCCTTGCAGCTCAGTCTGGGATTCCGAGCTACATGCCGTGAGAGGCAGGGGCTCAGAGATAGGAGACCCTCCACCTGCTCGCTCTTCATTGCACTCTAGCTTCTTGCTTTTCTGCCTCCTCACTCAGTACCCAGACTATTTTCTGCTGCTGTTTCTGTCTTTCTTTCCTCCCTTACTCTGTAGTTCCTTTTCCCCCTTGTATCTTCCTCCCTTTTTGGACATCCCCCCACGCTCCCCTTCCTCCCTGCCAAGTTTTAAGGTAAAAATTACACACAAAACACCATTCAGAAACCCTCATCTTCTGAGACGCACACCAACTGCTCTACAGAGCTGGCTTCTCCTCCCTCCCAGGGCCTGGGGCAGGGCCACCTGTGCCCGAGGGCCTGAAGTCAGGGATCACGAAGGTTCACATCGACCTGCCCCGGAGCCATGTCCCTCAGCAACGTGGAAAAAAGCTGGGGTAAGGCTGAAAAGTCAGAACCCAAGAAGCTCATGATTGGTCAAATTGTGCTACCTTTGAATCCTCTGGAAAACAGTCAGATCCTATATGCTCATGCAAAAAACCTGAAACATGAATCACTGAGGAAAAAAAATCACAAAATGAGTGAGTCTACAGAATTCAAGAGTACCCTGGGGCTCAGAAAGGACAAGTGCCAGGGAACCCTGGCTTTGGAGCCCCAACGGGTATTGCTGGGCTTTTTCCCGTGGTCCCCATCCTGATGTAGTGTGGCCCGACATATCACTGAACTTCTCTGGGCCTGGGGTCTTTTGCCTACAAGATGCTCACCAAGGACCCTTTCAGCAACATCGTGCTGTTGCCTCAAAAAGCCTAGAAGAGATCTAGGCTTCAGTCTGAGCCTTCCCCCTAATCTGCCGTGACTATTGCCAAGTCTCTGGGCCTTAGTTTCTTATTTTGTCAAATCAGAAAGTTAAGAACGAAGATCTCTTCCTAAACTAAAATCCCACTGTTCTAAAGACCCTAGGTCTCTTCTATCCTAACCCCAGGTAAAAGCAAGCTGCCATATTGCCGCAAATCTCTCTTAGTCCACACCACAACTCTGACTTCGTTTCCCGTCTCTGATAAGTTTAGTAGGATGTGGGAGCTGCTATTTAATCACCAAAGGCACTAAAAAGGTCCTGTCCCATCCCCGGAATCATGTCATTTATTTTTCCACCTGCAGATCCACAGTTTGTTCCCTAAGAAATTAATTTTGTGATCAAATATGCCTGCGAAATAAGGAGCAATGAAGATGGAGTGGAAAGAGTACATGAAAGAGCAGGTAGCACTGATAAGAATTAGAAACTAACTTAGAAGGGGAGGTATGAGTCATTTGAGGGACAAGTCTAGAGCAGATTCCTCCAAGGTTCTAGACTGTGGAGCTTGAGAGGTGGTCATAGCAAGAGAAGCAGATACTGTGGGGGAACACGGGGAGTCTAGGTTTGCAGACATCTAGAAGGAGCCATTTGAGGGGCTACTACACCTGAGAGACACAGTTTACTTATCTGTAAAACAAAAGGGTTCTCAAGACGGGCCCATCCCAAGATAGTACACAAAGGACTATGATTCTGAGGGACTGTAATCATTGTTTTGCAAAAAACAAAACAAAACAGTAGCAAAATAAAATAGAGATAAATAAGTTTGTTTTTTATCCCATGACCCTGAGAAATTTTAAAATGACAGGATAAACTGTGAATCTCTAAAACAGGGATATGCAGGAGATTCTGCCCAAGTTTATTTTACCACAGAATCTTTTATTCATACTACTAACATTTACAACAAACTATAGTTTTTTTGTAACTGTAGCTTGTTTTGGTCAAGAGTTTTACTGTAATACAGCCACGTCCGTCCGTTTATTTACATAGCAACCACGGCTGCTTTCCTGCTACAATGGTGGTTCTAACAGAGACTATATGGCCTGAAAAGCCTAAAATACTTATCATCTTGCCAAATCCTGATTGAAAGGCATAAAACAAGGTATGGGGAGTCCTGCCAGAGCGGAGAGCACCTCTCTTCTATGCAGCGGGGCAGAACACCCCTGAATCCTAAGCTGCCTGTCTCTGAAAGCTGGTCAGCACAGGGCAGTGGTTCTGAACCGTCTAGAGCCAGACTGACTACCAAGGTCTGGACCCCAGCCAGCCCTACTACTTAATAGCTTTAGGATGACTCAGTCTCATCTGTAAAATGGGGGTAATAATAGTACCTACTTAACAGGGTTACTGTGATAAATACATTAATAAGTGCAAAGCCCTTAGAATTGTGCCTGACTTTAAAAGCCCTTCACAAAGGTTAGCTAGTATTTTTTCCTCTCTCACTGTACAGAGAGCTAGTGAGCTTCCTGTCCTGCGGGTGTGTAAGCAGAGGCTGGTCTGACAGATTACAGTAGAAAGGAGGTTAAACTTTGACTTTCATGGTGTGATCCAACTGGAAACACAGACTCCAGAGTTCTAAGGTTCTAAAATTGTATGGTTTCAAACGCCATGATTTTATGATTCTTGAAAGTTAACAAGCCAACAATGCCGGTGACTTTTCCTGTATGCTCACCAAGAATGTGCTCTAGAATTTTTATGCCCTGGGGAAGCCTGGAGAGTAGTCCCCCTACGCTGCAAGGACAACCATCTTACAAAGGGGTGAGACCGTCCCTCTGAGGAAAACCAAAAGGCTCCAAGAAACTGCAGGAGAATCTGGTTTCCACGTCTAAGAATAACCTTGTCTGAGAATGTTTCCCTTTCTTATGAAATGTTATGAAATGAATACACACATACATAGAATACAAATCAGTAGCCAAAACACCCTTGGCAGCCAAAACGATGACGCTGCAGAAAAACTTGCTTGTTTGTCCAGACAGCCTGAGAAGAGAGAAGTGGAACTGCAGAGCTAGAGGAGATCTTAGAGATCATTAGGACCAACATAAACGTCTGAGAGAGAGATAATGAACAGACAGATGCTGAGCGCGAGACTGCTCGTGAAGACTCAGGAGTCAGTGCTCCTTCCTCTCACCGCAGTGGTTCTCACGGTTGCCATCTGTGTCAGAAGGCTGCAGAAACTGCCCTGGGCTCCCATCCTGGGCCCTGTCAGTGAATCAGGTAAATTCTTCTCTCAAGGAATACCCTCACTTGGACTAGCTAATATCAGAGGGACCTTTCTAGTGCTGAAGTTCTAAGTCTCTGAGTATTTCAGTGAAACTTTTATGAGGAAATCATTGCAAAGGACTTTCCACACTGATTGGTGGTCTTGTTTATGCCCTTGAGGATCACTGGAAAATCCCCTGGGCTGTAGCCTTGAGTATCACAAAATTCAGGGTCCTTACTCTGTGCATCTAAGTAAAAGAAGCTGTTGGACTTGATGCAAAAAATATCATGCATTTTGCTCAAATGAACTTAGACTCAACTCATTCAGGGGAAGCCTGACTCTCCTTAAAGGAGTTTTACCTAAGTCTGAGGGTCACAGTGTAGGTCTTTGGAATGCTGTGCCTTAAGTACATCAGAAACTTGCACTCAGCCCTCTCTGTTTCAGATAAGAACTTGAGCCCACGGGGCAGAGACTTCCCAAAATTGCACCACAAATCAGCGCAGAACTGAGCCCAGAGTTCAGGACTCGCTGTCCCCTGGGCAAAGCTCCTTTCTGAGTTCTAGGTCTCTGCAGTCCAATCTTGGGCATTTGGTATATTAGCCTTTGTATCATTTCACTAAAGGCAACACTGTGAAAGACAAAAGGAATCTGATCACTAGAAATCCCAGCTCTGCCTTATGGAAGAGGTTTTGTTTATGACGCTCTGTTCTCTCTCAGCACCCTAACCATAATTTTAGGCTCCATCAAGCAGGATAATAAAGAGAGTGTGTACATTAGCAAGATAAAACCTTTTCCAGTCCTCTCTTCAATCTTTCTGCACTGTCATAAATCCTGTTCAGTTGTAGAGCCCCTATGCCTTCAAAGGCATTGATCCGCACATCAAGGATGCCTTTTAGACTAATCGGTTTATTGACCATTAGATTTATGTGTCTGGACAAAGCTCTCTGTCTGATTCTTGCCTTGACCCCCAAGTCTCCTTGTTGGTAGCTGAACAAGAGAAAGCTGAATAAGTAGGAGAGAGACCTAATTACAAACAGGTGTAGCAAATGTTGGTGAAATTGAACTGAATTTCTCAAAGTGCCCTGAATTTTCTGTGGCATTAAAAGCCACAAAATCTGTGCTGGGAGGAACCCTGGTGGGTGTGGGAGGGTCAGTAAGTCCCACCTCTATTTAAAAATTGCACAGCTTCATACATTACTAGCTTAAAAGAGAGGCGGTATGTTTTAGGTCCTTTCCAGGGACCGTGATAGCCTGTGAGAGGACTGTGGAACAGCGACTGGACACTTTGGTGGCACTGCAGGAAGATTTCAACATAGTCAATGGTAATGCCCTCTAATACTCATACTTTCTCACTGTGGAAAGGGCTGCCTCTGGAGGGAATGGGCACTCCATACCTGGAGATGTGTGAGCAAAGGCTAGTGAACCTACTGGTCAGGGCAGCGGAGAGGAGGTCCCTGCCAGAGTGAAGGGTATTAAGGACCCAGCACCAAGGTGACAGGATCAGGCATCTAACAACTAGAGAGAACTTTAAAGATGACAAAGTCCAGCCCCCTCAAGTTATGGTTGGAAAAACCAAGGTCTGAAGCATGGACGTGAATTATCCGAGGTTACACAGAACCAAACCTAGAATCCAAAGCTTTTGGTCTTCCACTCCAGGCCTCTTTCTGCTGTATTACAGAAGGTGTGTCTACACGCATCTACATCCACATGTGTAATATAAGAAAGAATATGTATGTGCCCATTAACATACATAATGCCATGGGGACCTGGAAAAACTCCCTACTGCTGCCATCCCTCTCTGAAAGAGTACAGTTAATCTCATGAAAAAAGACAGTAATAGCAACTTAACCTGGGTGATATCTTTTTCTAGTTGTGTTGCTTAACTAGGTTGGATGGCAACAGGTGTATTGCCTTTCTGAACCTCAGCTTTCAAACTGGAATAAAAATCCACCCAAATAATAGGGCTACAGCACAGATTAAATGAGAGGGTGATTAAGAAAGCATATTCTCCAAAAGGTGAGTTACGCTATATATAAACATAAGTCAAGTTGACATCTAGGGGCAATGATAGCTAAGGAGAAAAATAACACTGAGTATTTTAAAGAAAAGAGAAACATACACTGGATTCTTCTAATCTACTTAATAGATTCATAATGCACTGAGCCACAGACTACTGGGCTGAGTCTGCACTGTCCCTCTGAAGGCTTGTCCATCCCCTGCTGGGACAGCTTAAGAGACGGGCACTCCCCACATGCAGAGCCAGCTACCAGCTATCCCTCTTCTGGAAAGCTACACAACAAGGCACACCGTTTCCACATACATCGAGTCAAAATGCCACTCGGTAATTTTTCAACATTGGTTCTCGTTTTACCCAGTGGAGCCATTTTGTGTTAAAAATCAGATGCGAAGGTGAAGCCATCAGTCACCCCACTGAGCCTCAAGGTGACTGTGACCAATCTGACTGGCCAGATGGGTTCTGTCCTCCTTGAGGACGCCAGGTACACACTCTGCTCCCACAGTCAGCTTTCACTAGGGCAGCGTTTCTCATGCAGGGGGCAATTTTGCCTCCCAGGGATAGATAACAATGTTTAGAGACAGTTTTGACTGTCATAATGAGGGTTTGCTGCTGGCATCCAGTGGGCAGAGGCCAGGGGTGCTGCTAAGCATCCTACAATGCACAGGACAGCTCCCCACGACAAGGAATGATGGGATCCAGATGCCCACAGTGCCGAGAACGAGAAACCCTGTGTTAGGGGGAGGAGCCTCTGCCCAGAGGTCCACAGGCAGGCATTCAAATGTCCCCTCGGTCCATTCCCTTGAAACGGAGCAACAGTCCTTCCCTCTCCCTCCTCATTGCTTTGTGTCTCCACAAAGTCAGTTGCATGATCAAAGGGAATGACCTTTCCTGTATGAAGAGGGCCAATTTTTTGCATGGATAGGAGAACCTCTTAAAACAGTGTCTTATAAATGTCAGTTTTAAAAGTTCCCTTTCCTTTCTTCCTAAGAGACAAATCAGTCAAGGGGAACAAGGAAAGGGGGAGACAGGCTGTATTTACTGAAAGCCGCAGAGGATGCTTGGTAAGTTCGGTTCTCGGTCCCGGTGTCCACAGGGAGGTGAAAGGTGCCTTCAGTGCCACAGGAAGACGAGTTCTGTGGCCAGGCCTGTTTCATCAGCAGAGTTGCTTAAGGGAAGACACAAGAATGACATTAGGCAGAAATAAGAGGCGGCACCACCAATCACAGACACAAAGCAAAGGTCTTGGGCTGGACAGAAACATATAACCCAAGGGGACCTGTTCAGACACACAGGATGGTTCAGCCTTTTTGAGATGGGTGAGTGATTAGGAGGAGTGCTGAAGTGAGCTTCCAAATGATTTGAAACTGAGGAAATCTGAGCTTATACTAATTAGGAGAGTCAGGATTGTCTACCACTGAAACCACAGAGATGCCTATGAATACTGCCCCCTACTGTGTCTGGCCTAAGGCTCCAGAATGTTCCTTAACTGCTTTCTCTCATGAGTGTGTAGCAACTTGGAGCCTTTGAGTATACACTGGGCCAGGATCAACTGAGTACTCTTCTTTTATGCCTAAAATCTCAGCTGGAGGTGTATTTACTAAGTTGCTTCAAAGAGAGACCCAAAACTAATTACCACTTGACATGAACCTTGCTGGACTGCCATCTCTTCTAAAGGGACTGAGCTTTGGCAACCTAGAAGGCACAGGCTGGCCAGTGAGACACTCCCGCTAACTCTTCCTGTGTGTCCATCTAGGGACAGACAGACAGACCTCTTGCACACCCTTTTTACCTCCTACTGAGGTGCTACTTGAGGTATCTCTGCATGAATTCAAGATGATCTTCTGGGCCATTAAGAAAGTAAAAGTCAAACTTGGGGTAGGTTTGAAATAGAGATGAGGCCCAGTTTGAAGGAAATCTACAGAGGCTTCCCAGGCTGACTCAAAGCTCAGCTTGAAAAAATGTGAAAGATGATGCTTCATATGTTCTACAAGTGGGGAATAACTCAAAAAACTTACCTTCATGATATCCTGTGGGGAAGGAGAGAGGAAATAGGGTTTCAAAGGGGGGAAATGCCTAACATTTTAGATATTTCCCTTGATATACTTTCAAACACTAGAGGAGAAACATTCTTGACCCCAATTGCTACTTAGGGTAAAAGAATGATTTTAACAATATGTTTTCCCTTCAAATAAGGTCTTGGGAGTCATGGGTACGGGTGTTTTAAAGTATATAAGTAGGAGGTGGGGCTGCATTGGTAACAGTCCGATATACCTGAAACATTTGAACAAGGGGCTATGGTAAGCCAGAGTGGTACAAGAAGAAAGTGTGCCCATACTCTAATTCCACCTGGGCAAAGATAGTCCACCTCCAGAGAGATCCCATAACCCCCCGCCTGTCCAAGTAACAGGTGGTGTCCCCGCTTCCTTCAATCATGAAGGTACTGGGCCCAGACAGGGAGGCCAAGGGCTCTGCTGTTTTTGCTGATCCAAGGCTAGACGTGTAGGTGTTCTAGGCTGAGCCTGCGCTTGCATTAATGGCCCGCAATATATACAGCGGATGCTGAGGAATGAGAAGGAAATCATGGGCAGGGAGGTGACACTAAAAGGAGAACTCTGGCTGAAGCAATGGAGACCCAGCAGGATGCCATGCGTAGTCCAGGGCCTTCACTGGACATCATGACATGGCTCCGCAGACAATGCAGGAGAAGGGCAGTCAGTTTTAACAATGCCCTGCGTCTCTTTTCCCGGGATGGGGGGTGAGTGGGCACGGGGGGCTAACAAAGGGTCCAATTAATGTTGAAAATCTTATCAAGATGTCTCCAAATTTAGAACCTGCCATTCCATGTGGCTGGAGAGCCCTGGCCATGCAAAACAACTCCCTAAAGGCAACACATATAGCTCTGAGAAGTCAGGCAGAGCAAGTCCATGCCCTCCAGACCCCACAGGGACTCCACCAGGGAGCAGGAGGGCTGAATTTGGCTGTAGAGAATTTGGAGGTCCAGTTCCAGTTCAGTTGTTCCCTGAAGTGGTGCATAATTTACCATAATTTTCATCATAAGACAAAAGTCTGACATTAGCCTGAAGGACTGTGTGACAAAGTTAAGTAAATCAAAATGAATAAAGAATGACCGAGGCCTACACTGCACTCAGCACCGAGGGGAGCGCCACGTGGACAGGAACACACGTGGGTCATGGTCACCGCACACAAGGGACTCATGGTCTAGCTGGGGATGCAAGACAGCCACGCACCAACCAGAGAGTGAACAAGACAGCATCACACATGGTAAAGTAACAATCCATTAACCAGGAAAGAAGCAAGTGCGACTGTGCCTTTGATTATGTCTTTCCCAAGTGATCAAGTGAACTAAGCAGTATATGTTCCTGAAGAAGTGGGTATTTTCTTCTGGTTTCATTATAAAGAAAACAAATATTAGTATTTTCTATAGTTCTTTGCACATTTGAATATTTAATAATTTAACTGGATAGATAGGAAGACTAAACACAAATATTAGCTGTCAACTTGGCTTCTGCATTTGTTAGCTGTATCATATGATCTTCCTTCTCCTATACAACTGTAAAGCCCCCCATTCTGTTGGTGGTAGTGATTCAGAGCTCAGTTGTGGGAAGAAGACAACCCAACTGAAGCTTTCAGAGGCATGTAACAGAGGAGGCTGCTCTGACAGGCGTGTTTGCCCCAGATGCCGTGAAAGGTACCAACTCCCAGAAATGTTTCTGTATTTTTAGCTGGTAGTTAAATATAAGTATATATATATGTCAAATATTATTGAGCTGTACATTAGAGACAAGTGCACTTTATGTACTATAGAATATGTGCTTTTCCTCAATTTTTCCTCCCCACAAGAATATGTGGGGAAGTGGGTGAGAGGGGAAGAGAAGGAGGTGGGAGAGGGAGGGAGGGAGGGAGGGAGAGAGAGGACACGAGAGAATGAATGAAAACATGAACCCTTGGCACTGAAGGGCTATGGCCCAGTCACAGCATGCTGCCCACATCCAGGTGCTGGGTTGTTCACTTCCCCAGATACGGGGCCCTCTGACACTTGAAACAGTCTATTAAGCACACTTACAAGGAAGAGAGGCAGCAAGGGACCATTATCCTGAACAATGTAGTAAGTCAGGAAATCTGAATTTTAGCCTGGGCTGTGCCACTTATTAACTGTGAGACCTTGGGCAAGTCACACAACCTTTCTAAACTTCAGTTTTGTTGTTTCATAAAATGGCAATAACAATCATTTCCTAACATTGATGTGAGGATTAAAAATAAAGTGTCATCCAGTCTTAGAGTTTCTAATCCTGTCCACTGGTATCTGTCCATTGCTCCATCCTCACAGCTGTGGACAGCGTTAATTTAAGCTCTCATCATCTCTCACCTGAACTACTGCAACAGCTTCTTCATAGTTCTGTTTGTTTTTAATCCTGTCAACTTTAATCTCCAAGCTGCATTTAGAGTGATATTTCTAAGGCCTAAACCTAATGACAAAACATTTCTTAAAAACATTTCCTGGCTGCCCGCTGCCTACAGGCTGAAGGCTGGACTCCTTGTGTGGCGCTCCAGGCCCTTGTGATCTAGTCCTATGATCGCTGCAGACTCCCACCATGTTCTCCCCCTCTAACCCTGTACTACTGCCACACACACTGTTTATCATTCCTGTAATACGCTTAGGAACATCACCTCTCTCTATTTTTGTTCACACTGCTCACTCTTCCTGGCATGTCTTTCCCCAAATGCTACCCAGTAAACATTTATTAATCTACCAATCATGAGCAGAAGGCTCATCTCTACTATGAAGTCTCTTCTTTTTCCCACCTCTTAACCACAGCCCCCTCATGGATCCCATAGGGTTCACTATCCCAGCAACTATAAGTCTAAGAAGCCACTATACTTGCTGGCTTCTCTGTCTTCCCCATGAAACTGGGGGCTCCTTGAGTACAGGGGCCCTGTCTTACTGGTCTTTGTATCTTCAAAGGGCCAGCTTAGGGCCTGGCACAGAACTGTAGATGCTATAACTGGAGAAGTAAGGAAGCAAGAGAGCTTCTCCCACTTTTCATAGTCTTCTAAGTGCATATATCCTGAGGCAAACAACAAAATGACTCCTCCATAAATGAAAAGAGAAACAAGTCTGTAACTAGAAAAAATCAAATAATAAAATTATGAGAACAGGCGGTTAGCATTTAAAGGGACCTCGAAGATCATCTGAAGTAAAACACATTATCTATGGCCTGGAGACACTAGCAAATTGCCCAAGATCACGCAGCCCACAGGAGCGGCAAGGAGAAATTTTCACAGCTCATCTCCTGAAAGATGTGCCACACATAAGTTCAATATTCAACATCCAAATGATTCAAGGGTAAAAGGTGAAAAAGTGTGCAGGGATTGTAGGGAAAATTGTCCTGAGCAGCCCAGGTGAGGTGGTGAAAGTGGCAAGTCCCTCCCATGGTCCCTTACTGTCTATGACAAAAAGGACCTAGTCAAGTTACACTGCTGGGACCCTCACAGGTGCCCAGAAGTTCCCGTGGTGCCTTGGGCCTGGAGTCCACACTGCCCAGAGAACCCAGCTCTGGTCCCTTGCTCATTTTAGCACACTTGACCCTCACCTCTCTCCATCCAGGAAAATGATCCAGAGCTCAAGATCTGGGCTAATGACACAGACTGTGTATCTAAGTCAACCAGGTCTTCAAACATGTCAGACTGCCAATGGAGATGAAAAATCTGATCTGGGACAGACTGGTTTTTTGGGTTCTCATAGGTATAATCCAGGTACTCCTCCACAGGAGCTGCGTGAAGCCAACAGAGGAGCCACAAAGGCCCAGGAATTTTCGTTCACTTGTTTGAATTCAGCAGTCATGTTAGGGTGAAGGTTTCTGACCGAGGTCAGGTAGGGACCCCAGAGAGAGAAGGGGGAGAGACGCCTTTTAGTGCCATGATCCTTCACTGCTGCCCCAGGGGACGGTTCATGTGTGTCTCCAACCCATGATTTTGCACCATCAGACATGTTCCTGCATGCTTTAGGAACTGCTGCTGAGCCACCTGGGGGAGCCCAAGCCTAGGGAATGGGATTTGGGGAGGAAAGGAGAGGGGATCTACCGTTGTTACGATATAACACATTCATAGGCCATAATACATATGAGGAAAAATAGCTCTCCTACCATACGCTGAATGCAGGAACTGAAACTCTGTTGGATAGAAATGTTAGTTGAAATTACCACTAAGAATTTGTGCAAAATAGTCCACATTACAGTTACAAAAACAGACTTTGTCTCAAAATAGCAGTTTACCCCAAGCTACACAAGAAACAGAGAATGCAGAAGGTGCAAAGGGCCTCTACCCTGGAGGGTAGTGACAGACTTGCCATCCAGAGAAACCCATCGATGGAGGAGGGGCACCTCCTTGGATGCCATAGCATCTTGCGGGCAGCTGATCTAGGAGTTGCCTGGATGTGAACAGGCCCAAGCTCCTGCTCTTCGCTTCCACACTAAGGGTGAGTTTCAACTCTCCCAAGTACTGCAGAGGGACTTCACACATGACAGACTTTACGTGCCAGAGGACGTGAAGGCTCAGGGACAAAATCTGAAGAGGTCTCCATAAAGCCCCAGAGAGCGAGGGCCAATGCAGAGGCCCCTCATTCCCTGAAGCCTCTGGGGAAATGTGGTGCTGTAGGAGGAGCACAGGCTGTGGGCTCGGGCTGACTGGGTTTGAATCCCAGCTCCACTGCTGTTTAGCTGGGCAACTTTGGACAAGTTATTTAACCTCACTGAGCAACACTGGAGGCAAGAGAAAGTGTACAGAGATTCTAACTCCCAAGAATGAGGGAAACATTTGTGACATGTCTTGCTCTGTGCCTGGTGGATAGCAGGTGTTCAGGAAACCCAAATGCCTTTCCTTTGCCTTTCCCCAGGCTCTTCGTACGCAAAATGAGAAACATTATATTTGTACTTTATAAGGCTGCTATGAAATCAAGGGAGGCAACAGATGAAAATGATTTATAAACAGATTTCTTATGAGACAGTATTTCATTTTTATCTACACTAGTTATCCTTTCTATCCTCTCTTTTCATTTTCAAGTGAGACTACCATTAATATGACACATCCTTTGGTTTCCATTTTCTGAAAACAAGTCTCAGTTGGCTCCTGCCTTTTACAGGACCAAAGAGTTCTTAACTAAGATCCCTGACGTCACTGAGAGCTTGGGGAAAAGCTCCAAGTACCTACACCGCCCTCGGAACCAATGCAATATTTCCCTGCGTCCTGGACCAATGACATTTTAGGGTACTCAGAGCTGCTAAAAATAGCTTTCTCTGAATCAACATCTTGGTCTCCTTGAAGAAGCTGAGAGAACTTTAAACCTGAGAGCCTGGCTCCTTTGCAGGTTTCTACCCCGCAGGCATCTCTCGGCATCACAAATGGCTGGCTCTGGCAGGAAGCAGAGTCACCTACACTGTCCTCTCTGTCCCTGAGCCAGTTAGTTCCTCTCCGGCAGAGCTTTCCCAGGGTAGTCAGAAGGCTTGGTGAATGCAGAGCCCAGCATCCCAACATAAGAAATGGACAGGCGGATAGGGAGGTGGGGTGTGGGGTGTGGGGTGTGTGTGTGTGTGTGTGTGTGTGTGTGTGTGTGTGTGTATCTCTCTCTCTCTCTCTCTCTCTCTCTCTCTCTCTCTCTCTCTCTCTCTCTCCTAAGAGAAGGGATCTGTCCAAGGTTACACCAAAATCAGTAACAGAGTTGGTGTAATAACCCTGGTCTTCCAACACCCAGTTTGGGGTTTTCTGACATAATACGCCAATTACCACCCTCTCCAGTGGATTTATGGGTTTCTGAGAAAATGGACTGGGTTGGTTTAGCCACAGCTTAGAAATCTATTGACTTTTCAAAATATAAAACTGGGGAAAATCAAGTTTGATGAAGGATGATATTTTGTTTTAAAATGGAAACTTAATCAGTACTTTATACATGCCCGGGGCTTTCTGATCTCTACATTCCTCCCACGCCCAGTTTCAGCCTCCTGTTGCCTGCTCTCCATTCTCTCTCTGGTCTGGTTGCTCTAGCATAACCCCTCAGTTTCTCCCTTGCCAACTGCAACTGTCATGTAGTGGTTAAGAGCACAAGTGGGTGTGGTGGCAGTATGCCTGGGCTTGGATCTTTGTGCTAGTTTCCTAACTTCTCTAAGTTTTCGCTTTCCCACTTGGAAAATGGGAATAACAACAGTACTGATCTCAAAGGTTTCTTATGATATAAAACAAGTTAATATCCATAAAGAACTTAAAATAGTCCCTGGCACATAGAAACAATTCAACAAAGATTAGCTGTTTCTTCCCGCTCCTAAAAGAATTCTACAATCCCTCACCAGAAGTTGTGAGCATCATAAGAAAACACCGCAGTGCTGGGGAATGGTCTTGACCAATTCACTGCATCCACACTCAGTCGGGCCTCCAGCTTTACCTGTTGGTGTTTCCTCCCCCCACTCCTTTCAGTGGGACTTTCGCACCTTGACCTCTCTACTTAAGAACCTTCCCTCTATCCTTACTCACCTGTCTCAGTAAATCCCACCATTAGACAAGAACGCTCTACTTACCACTGGGCTATTTATTCTAAGCTTATCCACCTTTCCTACAGTCTGAAAGGAAGAGCTGCTCCCCTGTGAGGCACCCCACTCTACCTGCTCCCTCACACAAAGAGGAGAGCCAAGCTTCTGGATGTGCCATCCCACTGCAGTCGTCTTGGAGGTCTGGCTCCATCTGGCACCCCTTCCCCTACAACTCTGACTTGTCCTCTCCACTGGCACCTTCCCATCAGTATGTATTTAACCATGCCATATCTAAAACCCCTCCTTTAACTCCACCTTCCCTTCTAGTCAATGCCCTCTTATTCTCCTTTCCCTATGGCCCCGCCTCTTGTAAGAGGCTAAGTCTACTTCTGTGCACCCAGCCTCACCAGCTCACTGGCTCAGCTTCCACAAAGACTGCTGATGGCCTCCTGCCAAGAAAGACAATGCATCTTCTTCACTCCTAACCTTAGCTGACCTTCTGCAAAGACTCATTTTGTTTTAGACTTGATAGTTTACCAAGACCATTCACAGCTTTCACAGCATTTCAATTTAAATCATTTCTGTATCGTGAGACACTTGATAATCAAAACCACCACAGTTTTTAAGACAGAACTTACCAAATTTGATTAAGTATTTTATCAGAGAGCATTTCTGTAGCTTTTATTGTTTCTGCCTATTACAGATTTGGAGGAAACGCAGAATAAAATATTAATGCTGAAATACCATTATAGGATTTTAGCCTGTGTACTCCCCTCACAAGCTCTTTCGGGGCAATGCCTGCAGCTTCCCCAAGTATGAATCACCTGCAGTGTCTTCCAGAGTGCCTCTGGCATAGCGAAGCCAAAACAAATGTCTGTGGACACATCTTTGTAAATACTTTAGGGGTTAACGTCACTTATTTACATAAAATAGTTCTCATCCGCCCCAAATAGAGGGGGCTGTCAGATAGCTTCATGGTGTGTGTGTGTGTGTGTGTGTGTGTGTGTGTGTGTGTGTGTGTGTGTGTGTGTGTGTAATATGATTGTGGTATGATTCCTACTTCAGAGACTGGCAGCTGAGGTTCAGAGAGTTCAGGTGACTTTAAGGTTGCTAACCTAAAAAGTGACCGAGTGCCAACTCAGATCTAGGTCTTCTGACATTGTCCATGTTTTTCTGTCATCTAAGCATCCCAGAGGAAAAGGGAATGACAGTAGAGAGTACTGGATTGGCACCAGGGAAGCGCTAGACCAAGAGCCAGAAGATCTGCCAATGGTTCTGGTCCATATGCTATTGCTGATTCACTCGGTAAGTCAGACAAAATACTGCTTTTCTCTACATCTTCCCCTGTCCAGAGAAGGGGTTGAACTGACAGGCCTCTAAGGTCTTTTCAAGCTTTCTAACTTTAGAATAGTAATTACTAAACAAGGAAATGGGGGTATTTTCATGACATTCAAGGCCTTTCCAAATATGGCCCTTGCATATCTGCACTTCAGGTCCATCTATTGTCCTCCCCCTCCAATGCTTCGAGCATTCCCACCCCTTCTAGCTTCCTCACAGGGTCATGTCCTCACACCTCCATGCCTTTGCTCAGACTCTACTCTGCCTAGAATGCCCAGCGCTGTCTTTGTGTGCTTAAAAGAACGCCTCCTACTTCTTCCCCAAGTCTCTGTTGCTGGGCCCTGTGAGAAGCCTCCCCTACACTTTCAACCTCGGGCAGACTGCTGCTCACTCCTCTGCTTCCTCTCCCCTCCTATGTACTTTTACAATACTCATCCCACTGTACAGTCAGGCATTTGTTTACATGCCAGCTCCCAAATGGACTGTAGGCTACTTCAGGCAAAGACGGCATCCTCTCTTTTTTTCTATTCCAGCATGGAGGACAGTCAACAAATAAATCCTTGACAAGTATAGGAAGAGGAACTTCCATAACACCATCTACAACCCTGAGGAAGGTGGTGCATTTCTCAGAGAGGTGAGGTAACTTGTCCAAGGCCTCACAACCAGTGAGCTGAGAAACCAGGATTCAAACCCAGGGCTAGCTGCAGAGCCCACACTCTTTCTCCTGCCCCTCGTGTGTCCAAGCACCGGTTGAGCGTGGGGATTAAGATTAGTGAGTGGGAAGACCTCTGTACTGCTCCGAGCCCAAACTAGAATAAACTTTTTCAACATTTCCAAACCTATTTCAACCTCTTTCTAAGGAGTGTTGGGCCTTTATTAATATTTGTGAAAAACAAGTTCCTTTCTTCACAATGAAAATCAGCTCTTTATCCTCTGGTGGCAAGTCTCTCATTTTTCTAACTCCACACCCAGAAAGTCTGAGTGGGTTGGTGTGGGTGTGTGTGTGACACCCTCAGGGGCAGCTGAGCAAAGCACGGATTTGGACATTGTTTGGGAGAGCAGAAAAGGTTCTGTGAGGGTGCATGTCTGAAACATTCCAGCAGAGGAGAGATGGGCCACCTTAAGCCCCAAGTATTTAGAATGGAGATTTTACTCTTGCCCCCACAGTGAGGCTGAACTGCTCCAGTTCCCAGAGGGAACTCCCAGGAGAATCAGACTTGGACAAGCTGAGCCCAGAGCAATTAAGGACAGGGAAAGGCCAGCAGGTGGGTTTGTTTTTCCAAAGAGATACCACCTCCCATTCCATTCACCCCTATTATCTCCACTTTCTCCTTACCTGGAGCATAGCTGGGGCTATTGGTGGGGTACAGGCTGGGATTGTAAGCAGGGGCCGCGGCCGGGTAGGCTGTGGGGTAACCTACAAAGAGATAAGAAAGGCTCTATTGAGTTAGGCAAAAAGAAAAGCAGATTTCTGAGAAAACAGAATCCAGTTGCCAGGTTTGGCCTTCAGCCTCTTCATGGGCCATTTCAGACAATATATGTGACCAGCTTTTATACGCTCAAGAGACAAGCCACCAACACCGCAATCCCGACACACGCACGTTTTCCTGAACATTAAAAAAAAAAATACAAGAAATATATGTCTATATGCTCACTGTAAAAATATTGAAACCATATAGAAATGTGTATGGTAAAAAGTGTAAGTTTACTTTTACATTCCTGCCATAATACTCTTTTCTCTAGAGGTAATAACAATTTGGCGTCTATTCTTCCACAGTTCTCTGTGCACTTTCATATACATATATGCAGTGGTGTGCTGGTAAATACTTAACAACTGGCTTGAGGTGACTGTGGTGGAGCTCTGTTTTGTAGCAGTTGCCAAGTTCCATAATGTAAATACTCCCACCATGGCCAATTTCAAGCTACCAACATTACTGAATGAGTAGTTGGGCAGGGATGCATACACTTGTCTCTAGAGAGCTCACATCAGCCAGATCCAGCCCACCACTGCATATTCTATACAGGTGTCTTGTATTTTTAACATTTTTTATTGTGGTGAAATATATGTAACAAAATTTGTGATTTTAACCATTTTAAGTGTACAATTCAATGGCATTAATTGCATCCACAATGTTGGCAACCATCCCTACTATCTGTAAAACTTTTTAATCACCTCCAAATAAACTCTGTACCCATTAAGCAGTAACTCTCCATTCCCTCTCCCTGTAGACCCTTGTTAACCTTTAATTTACTTTCTTTCTCTATGAACTTGCCTATTCTGGGTACTATTTATTTGTTTGTTTATTTATTTATTTAGCTGGGCCATCCTGCCACCTGTTGGCAGCTCAGCAGTGGCTCAGCTCGGGCTGGGACTCGAACCGCTGTTGCTCAGAGCTCACACTCTTGAGCGAGCTCTTAGACAACTGAGCCACTCAGCCGGTCCCTTTATTTATTTATATATAGCTGGGTACTTTATATAAGTGGAATCAAACACTATTTGTTCTTTTGTGTCTGGCTTCTTTCACTTAACATAATGTTTTCAAGGTTCATCTATGTTGTAGCATGTATTAGACCTTCATTCCTTTTTATGACTGAACAATATTCCATTGTATGGATATGCCACATTTTGTTTATCCATCCATCTGTTGATGGGCATGTGGGTTGTTTCTGCCTTTGGCTACTGTGAATGCTGGTGCTATGAACATTGCAGTGCAAGTATCTGAGTCCTGTTTTCAATGCTTTTGGGTTACATACCCAGGAGCAGCACTGCTGTGTCATATGATAATTATATGTTTTGTTTTGTTTTGTTTTTTAATTGGGGAATTGGGGGAGGGGAACAGCGCTGGAGAATTGGGGGACGGGGAACAGACAAGTTGCTGTCCTTTTGTTCTTCAGTCTAGTTGTGGAGGACGTTGCTTCACTAGCCCAAGTTGACACCATTATTGCGCTCTTCCCGGGCAAGGCAGATCGGTTGTCGGCTTCTGGACGACTGCTCACCACGGCTACTGGCCGCTCACGATGGCTGCTGGCTATACACAGTAGCTTATGGCAGCCCGCTGCAGCCTATGCCGTCGCTGGCGACCCACTGCATCCCAGCCCCAGGTCGAGCTGCCGTTCACCATCTTAGATGCAGAGGGTAGTGTCACTGACCCTCATATGTGGGATCCGAACTGGGGCCCTCTGGCACCCCAAGCCAGTTCTTAACCAACGCACCACTCGGCTGGCCCATGTTTTGCTTTTTGATGAACCTGTTTTCCCCAGTGGCTGTACCATTTTACATTCCCACAAGCAATTCATGAGGGTTCTAATTTCTCCACATCCTCATTAACACTTGCTATTTTCTGTTTTTTATTATAGACATCCTACTATGTGTAAAGCGGTGATATCTCATTGTGGTTTTGATTTATATTTCCCTAATGCTTAATAATGTTGAGCATCTTTTCATGTGCTTATTGGCATTTGTATATCTTCTTTGGAGAAATGTCTGTTCAAAACATTTGCTCATTTTTTTTTTTAAAGAAATTTTATTGGGGAACAGTATGTTTTTCCAGGAACCATCAACTCCAAGTCATGTAGTTGTTTCAATCTAGTTGTGGAGGGCGCAGCTCAGCTCCAAGTCCAGTCACTGTTTTCAATCTAATTGTGGGGGGCACAGCCCACCATCCCATGCGGGAATTGAACCGGCAACCCTGTTGTTCAGAGCACATGCTCTAACCAACTGAGCCATCCGGCAGCCCACCAGCAGCTCAGCTGCACCTTAGCTGAAGTTGTTGTCTTCAATCTAGTTGTAGAGGGTGCAACTCACTGGCCCATGTGGGAATTGAACCCGCAACTTTGTTGTTCAGAGCATGTGCTCTAACCAACTGAGCCACCTGGCCACCCCCATTTGCTTATTTTTTAACTGGATTGTTTGTTACTGAATTATAGGAGTTTTTAAAAATATATTCTGGATAATAAACCCTTATCAGATAATTTGCAAATACATTCTCCCATTCTATAGGTTGTTTTCACTTTCCTGATCATGTCTTTGATGCAAAAAATTTTTTAATTTTAATGAAGTCCAATTTATTTATTTTTTTCCTTTTGTGCTCATGCTTTTGGTGGTACAGCTAAGAATCCATTGCCAAATCTGAGGTCATGAAGATTTAGCCTTATCTTTCCTTCTAAGAGTTTTATGGTTTTGGCTCTTATATTTAGATCACTGATCCATTTTTGTATATGGTATGAGGTAGGGGTACATATAGTTTTATATTCTACCTAATAACACTTTAATGTTATAAACATTTTCCCATGTAATTACACATACTTTAAAAACATTATTTTTAATATCTTTAAAATATTCCATTATGTAGCTACATCAAATCATTTAACCATTACTCTATTTTTAGATGTTTAGGTTGTTTGCAAATTTTTATTATTATAAATAAGCTATGAGAACAACCTAAGCAAATATTTGGCTGCATCTCTGATTATTTCTTCAGGAATCAGTTCTAGAAATGAGATTTCTAGGTCAAAAGACAGTGCTATTTTTAAAACTCATCCATTCAACAAATACTTGAGTACATACTCTGCACCAGACACTGAGATCCCTGCCCTTGTGGAGCTTAGATTCTAAGAGCGTGTGAGAAGGCAGTAGATAAAGAGTAAATATAAATGAACAGTCTTAAGTGCTATGGAAAAAGAGAAAAAGGGCAGGGTAGAGGACATCAGAAGTGCCAGTGTGTGTGTGTGTGTGTGTGTGTGTGTGTGTGTGTGTGTGT